ATGCCATCCCTTCATTCAAGTAATTTCACATCAGTACATGTGATCTGAACCCTCTCTTGGAAATTATTCATCATTTTTAGTTCAATTGTTTGTTATTGCATCTTGTTGCCTCTTAAGAAAAATCGTTGGTTGTGCAAAGCCCATTGTGGGATCTGGTCATGTCATTCTGTGTTTCTCTAGAAAGAGAATGAGTTCAGCTAAGAGAAGGCTTTCCTTTGGATTATTGACTAAATGGAAGAATCAAGCTGATCTCATTGTTTGTAAATGCTGAATGGAGCATCAATCACTCATTTCAACAGGAGTTCGTACGAATGGAATTTGTCGTACATTTTTCCTTGCCATTCTGTTAATCTAGGATATTCTCTACTTAAAATATGATAATGGCACTTCAATCTTTTTTGGTTGGACAGAGGCCTAGGGAGCCAAGTACTAAGAAGCTTTCCCCCCTCTTATTACTTCAGCACATGTAGTTTGAATCACTCTCCTCAATGCCTTCATATTTCTCATCTCATCCTGCTAGTCATTCTTTCTTTCATCATCTGTTTATGATGTGATACTAATTTTCTTAAGAGAAAAGGCTATGAAAAAAGAAAGCAGTGAGGAAATTACAAAGTCAGGCAAGAGAGAGAAGGCAAAGATAGAACCAGAGAGAGAGAATGAGTCGTATTTACTTAACTGAATATTCTATTCAAGTGCGGCTCATGCTTGTAGGCAATAGTCCAATTATGTTATAACATCAACCAACTCTCTCAGCAAAACCAACTAATACTTTCTAATTAACTAACCTCCACAAGTTTTGGGCACCTGTTCAGTATAAACAGCATCAGTTTTAACCATTAGCTTCATGCCATCTGCCTCTCCAGAATTTGTTTCAGCTTTATGGTGAGAGATCACAAGTTTTTCTACTTGTCCAGAATGGTTTGCATTTAAAGTTGTTCTTGTAATGAGTAAGACGGATGATTAATTTCAGCTACTGGCCTGCTTATTTGAAAATCTTGCGGAACTGTATTGATGTAGCATATCTACCATAAGATCCATAACTTTTCAGGATATTGCAATTTGTTGTTGTAATGGTTTTTAATTGGTGTACCAATCTTATACACTTTCTTGAGGATAAAAGATGGTTCTGGTATTTTCTGGGGAAAAAAAATGGATGAATAAATATGTAAATAAAGTCAAGAAGAATGCCTGTCTTGTCTGCATTTATTATGTTTAATGATTTAGAGTTTGTTACAGGTTGTAAAAAAATATGGTTTTGTTACCTTATTTTGATGGTTAGACAACTTCTGTCTAAGTTGCTCATTCCTTTTTTTATTCCCTTTCACTTTTGGTTTCACAGGGCAACTTAATTGGTCGAGGTGTGGTCGAGTTTTGTGATGGTGGACCTCCTGTAAGCGCAACCTCTATATGAAATTCTTTAGCTCTCCCTTTTGGAAATACTATTACTGTATTCCACAGTTCCTTTTTATTATTGCATTGAGCAGTGTTGCTTTAGGTTGATCAATATTTGACAGATCAATGTTCTACATAACATTCTGAAAGTATTCTGTAAAAATACATTTTTAAATAACAAATAACTTCTCTGTCTCCAAACAGGTTAAGAATTTCATTTCTTTAGGGGGACCACATGCTGGCACTGCCTCTGTTCCTCTTTGTGGGGTAAGCTCTTTCTTGGTTTATCCTTATTTGTACTTCATCAAGATGTCTCTTAATATTCTTAGAAATGCCTTAGCAGGGTTTAATGGGAAAAATGCTTTTGAGAATCAGCTTTAAAACCACCGAAAATACAGAAAAGCCCTTCAAATTATCTATTCCTATTTGTAATGATAGAAAGTGGAAGCAGGTTCCACCCTTGCTTCAAATTGCGTGTTACATCTTCAATCAACTCTTATGATGAAAAAAATATTTTGCGCATGGCCTTGTTTCAAGTTGCAATTACCCACCACCTTAGCTGTATATAAACTTGATTTACAAGTTGTAAAAGATCTATGTGGTTAAAAATATTGTTAAGCTTCTCAACCAGACAATGTCAAAGCTACTATGTTAAAAAGTTTTGTTGTCTCCCTTCTATTTGGTAATTGGTAGGAAGACTGCACTGTAATCGGACCTGTGTTATTGAAAATGAAAGGGCCTTTCTGACCTAAATACTAGTGGATATTCATTGTCATAGATAGGAGATAACAAGTTTCATACTTACAGAAGATTAATCACAACTTTCTCATAGATAGGAGATAAAAAGTTTCATACTAACAGAAGATTAATCACAACTTTCTAGCTGTTGTTTTGAAAATAATTCACAAATGGCATAGCTATTTTTTGCAAATTACCGCATATGAATTTTATGGGACCGAGCACAAATTCATGGAGTTGAAATTCAAATGTTGGATTTGAGTACAAAGGGATGTACTTAATGCATAATAAATAAAATTTAAGGCACAGAGGAGTCCTGATTGTTTGGTTCGTTGGTTTGGTTGATTTTGGGGGAATTTCTAAAGGGAACAAAAAAAAAATATTCCGAGAGCAGTGCCATCTGAGTGAGTACCAATTTAAAACCAAAAAACTTAAGTTTGGTCTTGGATTTATTTTGCCTTCTGGACTGATTGAGATCCAAAACTTTTGATCAAATCAGTTGACACTTGAGGCTTGCTGTACTTTCCAAACAAAAATCCTTATTTGTGACGTTTATATTAGTAGTTAAGCATGAAGGGAATGCCTTTTATTAAAAATGGTATCAAAATATTTATAGAGGTTGTGGTTCTCATTGTAAATGATGATGGATTCTTGAGTTTCATCTTAAGTAGTGACCCTGTTTTTGAATGAGTTCATCATCGTACTCTTTACAGTAAGGCCATTAAGCTAAATCATTTTTGTGATCTCAGATCAAGTTTCAGTACTCTCTATAGTTTTCCATAGCAAAATGTAGATTGGTTAATGCATTTTTGAAAATTTTAAATTGAACCATAAGGCTGGTTTTTAGGTTATAAGTTGAAGACAAATCAAAGAATTAAAATGTGTCCATTTGGTTCTAACCAAATGATCCTCATCCTTATAAAAGTGTTGGACTGAAGATAGAGATATAGGTTGAAGAATAAAATTAGAGAGCAGAAGGAGAAAGACAAGAGGTTGAAATACAAAGGCACGAATCAAGTTTAAATATACAGGGTAAAACACAAATGAATTGCACTGAAGGGCATGGGGTTTTATGCACGATACAGAGTCAAAATGCAGTAATATGGACTTCAACTACAAAGGTGTGGAATTGACACAGGTCCAAGAACTGCTTATGCATACATTTATGAAGGCATTATTATGGTTTATTATATATTAGTTCTTCTGAATGTGGGAAAGCACCTATAATAAAAAATAAAAAAACTCCTTTTTAGTTTCTTTCTAAGGGTTCTGATTAATTTGTTTAAAGTGACTATGCTTTTGCAGTCTGGCATTTTTTGCATACTTGCAGATGCCCTAATGAAGTCTGAGATCTATAGTGACTATGTCCAGGTATGCATCTATCTCTAGGGTTTCTTTAACTTTTGGAGGAGCAAAGAAAAGGAATTTTTTTTCCCTCTTTCATTACTGCTGTCAAATATCTTTCTCGTTCAAATATCCCTGAGAAGGCTTGACAATTTAAAGTTGACATGTGGAATTGCAGGCTCACCTGGCTCCCAGTGGCTATCTTAAATTTCCTAATGTGAGTAGCATGCTCTGTTGATGTATAGATACCAAAATGAAGTTTCTTTTGATTGCGTGATCTCTCTGTAATCAATTTCTTCAGGAAGCCTGTATGGTTGTGCAATAACACAGAAATCTATAGCCTGCTTGGGCCAATTTATTGTTGGTTTATGATTTTTTCTTTTTTCGAAGTGTGTTTTCATGGAATCAATCTTATAAAGGATAGCCATTATAAATTGGTTTTGTTGTTTCCTTAAATTAAATTGTTTTATACTAATTGGGTAGTGATAGCTCAACATCTTGATATGAGAAATATTTCTTGATTGGTAGGATATTCCACGCTACTTAGAGAAATGCAGGTTTCTTCCGAAGCTTAACAATGAAATTCCCGAGGGAAGGAACACAACTTACAAGGAAAGGTTCTCTAGCTTGCAAAATTTGGTGCTTATCATGGTGAGAAGAATTTCCTTTTTTTCTTAATATAGCATTACTTGGTCCCTTTGGAAATTTTATTCTTGATTTTGACAGTTGGTGGAATTCTAATTGTTGCTTCTTTTTTTTTTTTTTTTGAATTTCAACAGTTCGAAAATGACAGTATTTTGATACCCAAGGAGACATCTTGGTTCGGATATTATCCAGATGGGGCTTTCAAGCCAATTGTCCCAGCAAAAGAGGTATAATCTGTTTTGTAACAAATTTTCAAATCTAAATATGTTTCGTGGCTGAGACTTCTGCATAAGTTATTGAGCTTGATATGCAGAGATTTCTGCATAATCTCTGTTCAACTGAAACAAACAAGTGAATAGCACAAATTTATGAACTATAAGTTCCTCTGTTAAGAAAATATATATATATATTTGTGCAGGAGCTTAGCTATCGTTACCTTTTTTCTTTTTCCTCCATGCAGACAAAGCTTTACACCGAGGACTGGATTGGTCTCAGGACCTTAGACGAGGCTGGAAGAGTTCATTTCGTTAATGTGTCAGGAGGTCATCTTGGAATTTCTAAGAGCGATTTGAAAACGCATGTTGTGCCTTTCTTGGTGGATGAAGCTTCAGTAAAAAAGTATAGCAATGCCAGGGTGCATAGACTTCCAGGCACAATCACACAAAACTACCAAAGGAAACAATTTGCGGGCAGCTTTAATGACGAAACACCTTCTTCGGTAAAAGACATTTTCAGGGAACTAGTTGGTCTTGAAGAGGAGAATGATTCAAATTGATTTATGAATATGGAATATCGAAGCCTACGGTTATTTGTGCTTGACCCTTGACAGGGATCATCAACACGAATAGTAAAATTATTGTCCTCTTTTGCTTTAGCCTTGCTATACCAAATACATTCTGATCAAATCCCTTAATGCCTGCCATTCCACACAGCTCCGGGATTTGGCCTGTATTGTTGCGTTGAAAACATGAATTACGACTTTACACAGTAACTATTGGCATCGATGGCGTTCTTAGATCCACTATTTTGTGTCTCCTTGCATCTGGCTGGTCATTTGTGCATGAAATCCAGGTTGTCCAGGAAACATATCTGACACGTGCAGCTATAACATTTGCTAGCTAAATTGGTTCTTGTACGTCATTCAAGATTGAAGAAACATAATCGATTAATAATTTATTGATTACTTTCCTGTTTTCCCAGCCTGCTCCCAGTCGCCGATTGAAACCCGCAATAGTTCTGTGCATATCCACTCATGTTAGTTTTTGATTCTCCTTTCTTTCCGTTGCACGCCCTTCTCATCATCAACCTGGTGGCTCTACAATGGTACGTGCAACCAGTATGGCATGTGTGTGAGTTTATTGTGCACTCAAATAGTATATTGCGGCCCGGGGTGAATTTCTTGCCCTATATTTTTGCGCCCTCTTTATTCAGATTTGCTGGACCTGGGGCTCAGCGTATTAAATTAAAAAGAAAATTAGAATCCATCGGTAAAATCACTGTGGCATGTAAGTGAGTTTACGGTGAACTCATATAGTATATACTAGGTTATTTCACAAGCTACGCTGGGAATAGGATTAAGAAAAACATGATCTAAAAAAATAATGTTCAAGTCACGAGAAACTCTTTACTATTGTCGTTAAATTTGTTAGTGATTTGAAGGATATAACTTCACTTCACTTCACTTAGAAGGTAAGACGAAAGTGTGGTGTAAGGATTTTTGGTAGGGAATCATGATCTTACTAATTGGGAGGAATTTGTTTGATCTATATGTACAAGGTTTGGCAGCAGAAATGATTTAGTAAAGGAGTTTAACAAGCTTGTATAGAACAGAGGAGTATGTTGAATGATTTGAGGAGCTTAAGTTATTAATAAGCAATTTGAATCCTTCACTTCCACAATTAAATTACATTTCTAGCTTTATTAGTGGACTTAAATATGACATTGAATGAACACTGAAGATTTTAAAACTGACAATCTTAGTACAAACATTCGATTAGGCCAGGTGGGAAGAAGAGTCTAATTAGGCTATGCCGAGAAGGAATAGAACATCTCCTTCATTCAATAACGGAATACCATTAGGTAAACTTTTTTCCAATACTCCTTATACTATAAAAACTGATGTGACAATAGGAGGAAAACGAATGCATGATTCCTTATATGAACAGAGGAGAAAGTTAGGGCAATGTTAAAAGAATAAGGATAAACTTGTTCTGTGCCATAAATGTAACAAAAAGAACTTGAATATGATGAATGGTGTAGATGAATAAAAATGATGAATTTCTAGAAGTAGAGGAAGGAGATAGCAATAAGATGATGTCTGGTGAAGATCGAATAGATGAGTATGGGTTGTCACTAAATGCTTTGGCTGAGAATTATGCTCATAATACAATAAGGATTAAAGAAAATTGTCAAAACAAAAACCTTATAATTATTATTGACAGTTTTAGTGCTCATAGCTTTATAGATGAATATGTAGTTAAGGAAATTAGAACTACTATGGAGAAGAGACCACTATGCTAGCAGTAACTGTTGCCAATATAAGTGTCATAAGGGGTAATGTGTTCTGTATAAAATGTTGATGGTTAATGCAAAGTTATAAATTTCAAACAGATTTAAGATTTTTAAAGTTATGGAGGTATAAGATGGTTTTGGGAGTGGATTGGTTGAGAATTTATTCACCAAATTCTGTTTGATTTCATCAAGATAAAATTGTCTTTTAAGAAGGAAAGAAGGATGATTGAGCTTAGAGGGATACTTGAAGAGGCTAGTTTAAGGATAATCAAAACATTAAAAGTGCATAGGAGTATGGAAGAGGCATTATATGGCTTTGTAGGGGCAATTCTTCTCAATTGAAACAAGAGAAGAATCACAAGAAAAAAAAAAAGTGCATCCTAAGATTAAGGCTTTGCTGACAGAATTTGAATAAATATTTGAAGAACCAAAACAATTACTTCTAGTAAGAGCATTTGATCACAAAATTCCTCTAATTGTAGATGTTAAACCAGTGAATATACGACCTTGTAGAAGTTCATTTATACATAAGAAGGAAATTGAAAATCTAGTGAAAAAAATGTTTCTTAATAGGATAATTTAACCTAACAGCAGCCCATTGGCCTCTCTAGTTTTGTTAAAAAGGACAACAATTAGAGGTTTTGTGTGGATTATAAATAGCTTAATGAAATAACAATAAAAAACAGGTTTCTAATTCTATTAATAGATGACTTCTTGGATGATTTCTATGGATCTCAGTGTTTCTCAAAGTTGAACTTGACGTTAGGCTGTCATCAAGCAAGGATGCATACTGCTAACACCATGGGTATTATGAATTTAAAATGATGACTTTTGGACTTACAAATTCCCCCGCAACATTCCAGGCATTGATGAACAATGTATTGGAGCCATTTTTAAGAAAATTTGTTTTGCTTTTCTTTAATGATACCTTAGTCTACAGTTCTACCTTTGATTTACATGTTAACCACCTCAGGTCAGTACTGGAACATCACAGAACATCATCTATTTGCCAGATGATCTAAATGTATATTTTGTAAATATCAAGTGGAGTATTTGAGGCATATTTTATCATCTGAAGAAGTTTTCATAGACCTTAAAGAAGACAATGACTAGGTTGCTTAAGAAGAATAGATTCAACTGGAATAAACATGCACAAATAGCTTTTGGAAAACTTAAAATAGCTTTGTGTAAGGCACCAGTTTTGGAATTACCTCATTTTAAGAATACTGTTGCATTGGAGATTAATGCTTGTGCTACAAGAATAATGGCATTACTCAAGAAGGAAAATCATTGGCTTTTCTAATTAAAGCTTTGTGCTCTACACATTTAGGGCTATAAATATATAAGAAGGAATACCAAGCAATTTTAATGGTAGTAGACAAATGAAGGTATTATTTGGAGCATTTATTTGGAGCATGATAAATTTATGATTAAAACTAATTCTGAAAGTTTGAAATATTTGTTAGATTAAAAAATTTATTCTCTCATGCAAAGGAAAGAATCGATAAAGTTATTAAATTACGGCAATAGATTCTCCACAGATTCTCTATAGAAAAGAAAAAAAGAATAAAATTGTTGATGCTTTAAGAATATTATTGCGATTATTTTTCAAAATATATTATATTTGAAAATATATTAAAATAATTTTTTTATTTTTTAAAAATTATTTTTAATATAACCATACCAAAATTATCTGAAAATATCAAAAAAATATTAATTTAAAAAATATTTTTAAAATATAAAAATAAATAGGACGAAGTTAAGGTAGCTGTTAGGAAAAAGTGATGATGGATAATGTATCGGAGGACAATATCGACGCTAGGGAAGGCCAAGGTAGCTGTAGTACCATGATAGTGATATTGCCAACATGGTATAAAGAGACCATGGAATCTTGCATTGCCAACATGGTATAAAGGGATCATGGAATATTACAGAAATGATTCTTAACTACAAGAGGTTATTACTGGAAAGTTAGTAGGAGATAACAATTCTTCTAAATATAGTTTTGCTGATGGGATGCTCAGGTATAAAGAAAGAATTGTGGTTGGAGATGAGGGTGGCCTAAGGATAAAAGTAGTCAAAACAGCTCATGATTCTTGTATTGGAAATTATACTGGAATTTAAAATTCTTGTGAGAGGCTCAAGTTTGTGTTTATTGGCCTTTAATAATGAAGAAAATGGTGAAAATTGAACTGGTTTTTGATTTGGTTAGGTTAAAAACCTTAAAAAAGTAAACCCGTTATTCCCTGATCTTGCCTTCCAACCCAGACTCCACAAGCCCGCTGCCTTTGTTTGATCCCATGATTTCCAGTCCTGAATTTTCTCTTTTTTCCAAACAAATGATTCTGTCATGCTATGTTTTGATGCGCACATGTTCACATTGCACAGCCCTCACGAATCCTTTTTTGATTTGTCACAAGTTAACTCATCGCCTCTTCATCGCATGATGATGGCTAGCACATTATTTTGCTCGTGAAGTGGATGAAGAACAAGAAGATAACTGCCAAGTCTGCAATTTTGATCTCATTCGCAAGCAACTGTCCTTCAACTGCCCTGGGAACTATCGATTTGCTTGCACTTTTGCCATCATTCATGACTCTATCTACATTTTCAGAACCTTGATGCTTGGCTTCATCTCCAGTTAATTTGCTCATGTCACTTCCTTTCTTTGTGTCCAAATTACTCTTTTTTTTGTCAAAGTTTCTTCTCTTTTTTTCTAACTCACTTCTTTTTTTCTTCTTTTTTTCTTTTTTTTGTTCAAATTACCTTGATGCTTACCTCATTCATAGATCTGAGATTCGTATCTATGAGTTGAAAGGTTTGAATGATCAAATCTACAGTCAGTAATAAGAACCAATAGGTCTTCAAATCATTCATTTGAAAAAATAAAAACTCTTTTTATTGCATGATCATGATACCTCTAAAAATCAAATTTTTTTATCAATGGAGAAATAATATCATCATTTTTGTTCAATAAAATATCAAAGTAGATGATTGACTCATTCCATACTAGAAATAATTGTAGAAAATCTTTTGATAACATGGATTCCTCTTTCACCATCAAATCTTAGGGCTCAACCCTGGATAGGCAATGAAAACTGCCAAGCTGAAGTACAATAAGGACAAAAAGAATTTACGATGGAGCGGATAAATACATAAAGATCAAATAAAACACTAATGATAAAAGTACTATGTTGGGCTGACACTGACACTAAGAGATGAAAGCTAGGGGAACGAATGGAATTATTAAGTACCCCAGTAGTTCTAGCCATAAACAATGGATTTCAAATGACCCATGCAATGTTTTAGCTAACACATTAAGTATCTAGCCTAAGAAGTATGTTAATAAGAATGAAGCTTAAAGGAATTGATGGAGGCTCGCATAAACGGTGGAGCATATGGTTTAATTCAATGCAAAATTAACTTTAGGGGGTAAAACATTTTATTATTTCTTACCTACTATGAATTTATTTTATACATGACTACCAGACATTTTTATTTGTCTCTTTTGTATCCTCTCCTTCATTTCCTAATTTCTCATTCACTATCTTTTCTTTCTTGTCTCCTCTATTTCCCAATTTCCCATTCTCATTTCCCTGTTTGTCTCTTTTGTCTCCTTCATTTCCCAATTTCTAATTCTCTATCTTTTCTGTTTGTCTCTTTTGTCCCCTTCATTTCCCAATTTCTCATTCTCTATCTTTTCTATCTTAGCTCCTTTTATTTCCCACTTTCCCAGTCTTTTCTGTTCTGTAACATGTGATAGTAACTAGGCATTCATTACCTTGCAGACATTCTCATCAACAATTAATATTTACTGATCCATTACCCAGCATTTTGGAAATTATAACCTTCAGAATGGCAACATTTTAACTTGAAATTTCTAAAGCGATTACTTGATATTGAATTTTCCAAAGCATTCCATACCAGCCTAAAAAACATGTGACTAATTAGAGAAATATCTCATTTGCTCATCATCTCTTAGCCCTGGCTGTTATAGTCCATCAACCCATACTTTCCTAGAAAGCTCACAATTTGCTGGTTTAGGATTAACATAAAAAAACAAGTAAATCACATCACAAAGCATGAAAGCATGTTCTTCCGCACACAGCACCATCATTAAGGGTGTATTTGTTTTAACCACACTTTCATAAAAAAATTTGAAAACTAGTATTTTTAAATCTTTTTAATATGCTAAAATAAAAATTAAATTAAATAAATATTATTTTAATACATTTTAAAGAGAAACAAAAAACAATCACTACCATAATACCAAATGCATATATTGACCATAATGCTCATGTTTCTTGCATTGACTAGAGACAGAACAACTCGATATACAAGGGATGCCAGGAACCGAAGTTCTTTCCTGCGTAGTTGAACATTATTACTTTCAGAGATTAAAAAAAAAAAAAAAAAACTTGTCGAACTAACATGCAATTTTACCAGAGCTATTCAATACACATGGATGTCGACACTGATAGCTCCCAAGTGATCCGCCCTGATGGAGCAGCTGTTCTTCCTGTTTAACTGCTTCCCAACAATCTTTTGGTGAGCCTGGCAGCGGAGCCAGAGGCAGGATATTCTTGCCAGTGCTGCCTGACCAGCAACTCGAACACGGCAGACAACACTTAGGTCAGCCCATATCTCACTTCCCACAGGCCCAGATTCAATACTTGGATTATATCCATCAAGATCTGCTTCTGTTACAACAACTACAGAGCCATCATCAAATGGCACTATACCCTGCAGAAGTGCTGGCCTTGGAGTTCTCAAAACTAAATCAGTCAATTTGAAGTTGTGATCGCTAGTGTCCACCTTTAGATAATAATATTCTTGAACAGCCTGCATTTACTAACAAGAGCTAGTAACTAATCAAGGATATGCATGAACCTTGTTAGAAAAGATCTAGGAAGTTCTAACATGCATTTTATGGACTTTGGTGAAAATATTAAGTTAAAATTATCATATCATTTTTTCCTTTCAATTTCCTTGGTTATAGGAATCAGAAGGAAAAGCAAAAATGCCGCATAAAAGACCAGAAATTCTAACTATCAAATTCTTGTGTACTCAGTTTCATGAAGTTGCGTAAAATCTAAGCATGAAAACTACAATTTACAAATGAAATTCTTAACTTCTTGAGCTAAATCATAGCGAAAACAAGGTCCTGCCCAAGCATACCTGCCATTGCGCAGATGCTAAAAGCACTCTTGGTCGGATTGACCTCACATAATTATATGCAGCATTAGGTGTCATCTGCATGTGGTGCACCTGCACTTTAAAACACAACTTTAGAATAGCTGCAATGAAAAAGAAAACCTACAAACTTTTGAGTTTTGTATTGAGTTGATGACCAGGTAGCATATAACAATTGTTGTGCTGCGTCCCCGACCTGCTTTGCAATGAACATATGTAGTTCGTCCTGATGATACATTTTCTTAAAAGCAAAACAAAACATAAGCAGCATCAGAATCACAAGAACAATAACTTCACCTGCATGTAAAAATATTTGTTGTCGCAAAGCACAAATGAATCTCACCATGAATGAAGGCTACAGCTTGGCATATATCATTTAAGGACGGAGCAAAGCAGTAGTCTCTTGTGGGGATCACCAGATGATCAATGCCATAAGCCTACCAATAAATTTGTAAGTAAAAATGTAGAAACTTTAAAAATATTGTGTGGAATTTCATATAAATGTATGCCAAACAATGAGAATTGACAAAATATAGAAACAGACAATTAAACTACAAATGCAATCACTGGACAAACAACACAGCTGAAATACTAGGTGGAAAACCACGAAAGCAGACAACTGTCCAGGCGGGCAGTGAAGGCTCATTTAGTAGACAGCAAGTGAGCAGGAAGCATGTGTTAATAGCTCTTCACATAACATGTATCAGCTATCTACCACCAAGGTGACCAGCTCATAAAAATATGAACTATTAACACATGCACCCCTATCAAAGGATGGTGAGGATAGAAAAAAGGCACTTACATGGTATAAAGAAGTTGGCACTAGCGTCTCGTATGGTTCATTCAGTGTTATCACTCCACCAACACCGAGCCCCTTCAGGCATGGAACATCAGAAGGGAATGGAACAGCACCTAACAATATAAACTGCAAATAAACATATTAGACGAGATGAAATTGAGAAGGCTACTTGATATGAAATTCATTACACAAAGGCACAAGTAAATTTTCAGACAACTCCAAGAATCTTGAGCTCAAAGAATATGGCATAATACACCTACTAATGATATTAACATTTTCAAACACATCATGTAACCAGAATAGACAAATGGAAAATTGAAAACTCGTTTACAGATAATCCATGAGAAAAAACTGCAACCATGGTTCACCAAACAAGAACATTTAATAAAAAAAAAAAAACACAAGC